AAATACATTTTTGCCCTCTAGTGGAGAAAAAATTGGGTGCAAGAGAACTCCGTGTACCAGAACGCAAGAGATGGAGAAATTGGACTCCATGGGCTACAAGGAACAAGGAGAGTCGCTAAGGAAAGAGGGGTTTCAAAAGATATGGTAAAATTTGGGGGTTTAGGTCCCATTTGGGTCCCGAAGCCTACATGTGCAGCTCAGAGGCCACCCTTCAATCACCCCACTATAGCCCTTCTTCCTATCAATCGCTCCCAATAAACTTCAGTGAGGAGACGAAGGATAATTTCAATTATGGTAGCAATCCTCAGAGAAAAGCTGCCCTAATAAGACACTGCTCTGATATCACAGTCTCGGATCTAGTGGTGTAATGACTTCTCACAAAATTACTAGGTTTTTTTGTGAGACCAGCTGTGTCAACATGCTGAGGCAGACTATCCAATGATGTCGGAACTCTTGTGAGGTTGCCGGTCTCTAGCACTAAAGCTGTTGTCTGGGGCAGGTTTCCATAATTTACACCCAAAATTATTGTCTTTTCCCCTTTGTGAATCCAAACACACATACAGCTGGCAAAGGAGGAACAATGAACTGATGGGAAAAAAAACCTTGAGCAACCCATCCGGTGCTTCTAATTTTTAAAAGTGCATACCACGGTGTGTAGACTGCACACACGTCTCGAGCGCCAAGTCTCAGCCCACTCCACTGTAATTTCAACATGCAAAAGAGGTGATCTGAAGGAGGTGTGTGTGTGTGTGTGTGTAGAATTCACTGTAGATCCTCTGTGTGAACTAGTTGTCATTCTTTAAAAATCTTCTGGCTCCTGAGAGGAACTAACAGGAACAAAGCAGCATTGTTCCTTTTGCATGTTGAAAGCCATGAGAGAACCATCATAGCCAGCTGCCTCCCCTCATAGCCTGCCTTTTCCTCATGTTTGGAGAACAGCTGAATTCACAAACCTTTGGGAAATCAAAAAGTATTTGAATATCGTTCCCTTTTATTAATGAACACGACACACTTTGCAATCCCTTTCCTCAAAGCAACTTATTGGAACTCTGAAAAGACATAAATTTTAATCTGCAATAATGAATTGTGGTTTGTTTTTTTATTTAAAAAATCCTTTAGTTTTAATATGAAGTTTTTATTTTGATTTGAACCAGTGGCTTTGTTTAGTGGTTGGGTATTATAAAAAGCAAATCTTACATGGCAGTTTAATCGTCATTTTAATCTCCCAAACCCAATAGTTTACAACTTTGGATTCTGGAAATACCCACCATAAAAAAGAGAAAAAGCCCAGTAAAAGTATGATTTTACGATAACATTGCAAATGAATTACAGTTGCTCTAGCAAAATTACGATGGCCAAGCAGCTGCTTGGGCAAAATCATGGTTCCTCTTACCCATCTCCGATCGTGTTGACACCTGCTAATGTAGCTTTTGCGTTGTTAAAGGTCTTCCAGTATTTCTTTTGTAAACACTATTCAGGGATGGATTTATATACCGGCCGTAAATATTCAGCCTAGGATGAAATGTGGTCCAGAAGGCCTTAAAATGTGAT